TACAGGTGTCCAGAGGTTCAGGATAGACTTGGAAATATAGCAGCCACCTCTGACTTGGGCATCTCAACCCTGTACCAGGGAGGGCAGGATGAAGTAAGCAGCAAAGCTGGGGCAGTGGCCACTGCACTGGATTGTAGGCTGGTAGAAACTGCGACCGCTGGCATCTCTGGTTTGTCCCCAGAGTACCCAGATGGCTGCCAAGTCCCCCATGAAACTGTACTCCATCCCTTCCCCTCCCCTTTTCCAGAAGGGAAATATTTGAGTGATAACTGAAGGGACATCATGTTGATCAGTCAAGGGGACAGTTCCCTTGATTCTGGGTAATCAGAGGAGCCCAATTAATGGGGCACTTAATATCTTTTCACTGCAGGACACTGATGGTTTATTGTTTGGTGGCGCAATCCTCAAAAGAAACTTCTCCCCATCCCTTGCCTCCTCTCCCCTTGACCCAGCCGGCGCAAAGATTATGTCCCCCTCTTCCATGGGGGACTCCTGACCCAGCAGCCCAGGGGTTAGGGTGACAGACAATAAATGGTCCGTTAACCAGTGCTTTGGGTGCTGATAACCAGTTCAGGAATTTGCCTCAGAGTTGGTTTTTACTGTTCTTAATGTTTAATAAATACAACCATTTTACAAATAATAAAAAAGTCCTGAGACTTCCTTGAGCTCCTACTCTCTCATAACCTCCCCCTACAACCCTGTGTCCAAGAGTCCTGGAAGGTGGTCTCCCAACATTTTCCTGACAATCACACTCTGGCAGTTGTACCCTGGGTGCATAGGTTCAGGTACAGACACACCATGGCTAGCCTCAAGACACTGAGCTTCCTGTATCCAGGTATAATGGAAAACCTCTCCCTTGGCCTCACATAATTTAATGCCTCTGCCTGTGTCCCACACAAAGCAGGGGAAGTACTGACATCTTTAAGTGGGAAGGACCTCCATGGCCCTCCAGTGCACCTTGGAGATTCCCAATGGCATACTCCACCATTAAGCTTCTGCTGAAGCAGTATTTACAATACTCCTTCATATCCAGGCAGCCCATATACAGCTTCAGGAGCCAGGG